AAACTACTACTCTGGACTATTTATGGACATTTTTCTTCCTAGATCAAGTTGAAAGTATCAAACTACTACTCTGGACTATTTATGGACATTTTTCTTCCTAGATCAAGTTGAAAGTATCAAACTACAACTTTGGACTATTTATGGACATTTTTCTTCCTAGATCAAGTTGAAAGTATCAAACTACTACTCCGGACAATTTATGGACATTTTTCTTCCTAGATCAAGTTTAAAGTGTCAAACTACTACTCCGGACTATTTATGGACATTTTTATTCCTAGATCAAGTTTAAAGTATCAAACTACTACTCCGGACTATTTATGGACATTTTTCTTCCTAGATCAAGTTTAAAGTGTCAAACTACTACTCCGGACTATTTATGGACATTTTTCTCCCTAGATCAAGTTTAAAGTATCAAACTACTACTCTGGACTATTTATGGACATTTTTCTTCCTAGATCAAGTTGAAAGTATCAAACTAATTTTCTGTCACTATCCATATGCATATCGGGTATTTCAATGTTGTTATTTTAACTGTATGATAATTACCATCTTTGTCTAACACAAAAAATAATTTCTGATTCATTACATATATGAAGGCACATAAAATTTCTTATTCAATGTTAATAGTTTTTGTACTATTTTACAACTAATGAATACTTACTTCTGTTATTGAATAATGAAAAGGATTTTGAAATTTATAAACTTTGCAAAACTAAACTGGAAGTTAGCAAATCCTGTTTAATCATATACAATGTTGGATAATTACTTCTTACTACAAATAATGGCAAATATGGTTAATTCAATGTTTAAGCACACATAATGAGCCAAAAGTGTTAGACATACTTTTGTGCGGCCAAGGAATGGAGTTCGGGAATAATCCCTATGTGGCTTTTCTGCCTTTTTTGTTCCATCAGGAAATATTGTGGCTATCTCCTCTTCTATACTTGGTAGTTCTGATGTTCTTACTGCCTTCTGAAAACCAGTCATTGGTCAACACAAAAACCAATTTAACCATCAAATATTTCTAACCGAAAACTGCTTCAAACTTCTACTTTAAACAGAAAATAAGGTATAGAAAATAATGATCTAGATATCGAAAAGTTCACTTTAATTATAGCTTCATGTTGCATTACATACACAGTTAACTCATCAAATGATGCACAAGTGGCCAAGCTTGCAAGTGTGAAACTACATACAAAATGTCACTAGTGTAAACATCTTGTTTCTAAAGTAATGAAGCACAGTAGTTAATAAGCTTTTAAAAACTGAACTGTTTCTTTTCACCATTTGGTATTATTCTACAACATATCCATCAATAGTCAAATAACTTGTTACTTAAAAAATGTGTTATCAATCTAATTTCTTCTATTCAAATGCTCGGATGAAGAAGTGTGTAAGCAACAGTAATAACAGAGTAATTTTACAACTTGTATTACTAATCGTCTTCAAGTCTATGAATTACCTCTGGTAGGCTTTTCACGTAATCATCAGCTGTCTCTACGGCTTCTTTGAAAGAACTGGATTTACTTTTCTGTGTGTGCATTTCCTTAAACTCTAAGTATGGCTTGATATGTTCTTCAAGAACCCAAGCACTGCAACAAAAAATGAAAAGAATGCTATAATAAACATTTCTGCACACTGATGTATTTCACCTAAAATATCTGAGAAGTGTCAAGACTGCTACATTAAATATTATCTTAAAATTTATTGTGTAAGGAAAATTAAGTTTCAAATTTCTGTCTTTACAGTTACCAACATAATGAAATAATTGTTACATTTACTTGCTATATACTCACTAGTTCTTTGTACCAAAGAAATAAACACAGTGCATAGATTTCTTCAAAGCTGGTCTTTTAACATCTTTCGTGGGACTAACAACCTGTAAATACATAGAGTTGCATGATTAAGAAACCATTGATAAACCTAAAGCAATAACATTTGATAATACATTATATAATAATTCACATGTTCATAAGATAAAAGCTATTGGTAGTAAAACAGTACAAGATTATTGTAACATAGCATCAACATAAACACAAATCACACCAAAACCAGCCATATATTTTAATATATCCAACCCCTGGAATAAAGGTAATGAAAATAAGTTTAACTGCTAGAGTGAACAATAAAACAAGGTACAAAATGAAAGCATTATACACAAATCAAAACCAGCCATATATTCTAATATATCCAACCCCTAGAATAAAGGTAATAAAAATAAGTTTAACTGCTAGAGTGAACAATAAAACAAGCATTCCTCCCCAAAGGAAACAAAAGTACAATAATCACTGTAGGAATAATCTTCAAGTGTTTTACTAATAAAATAGTATTCCAGAACTTATAAACAGTTTATGACTTAAAAAGGAATATACAATGATAAAATACATTATTTTATATTATCAATATCAAAATAAAGACAATTCCATTTAAATAAATAAAGATAAAAAAAATCAGCAAAAAATTTACAAAAAAATGTCTAAATATTACATTGTTACAAATGATAAGTTTGTCAACCCAATAACTAAAGTAGATAATTCAAAATATAAAGAAACTGTGTTAGCTGTTAGCAAAGAAAGCACCAACAATCTACAGACTAGTTTAAAATGATTAATACTTTAAGTCAGAACTAACCACTTTTATGAATTATATCCAAACATGCTTAATATTTCATCAGAGCAAGAACAAATCAATAACCTCTTATACAACATTATACGTTTCACCAGAGCAAGTGCAAGTAAAAATTAGTTGTGTGTTCGGGGTTGCATGTCTTTTTGCATTAGATAATACTTTTCACGTATGAGATATTGCAGGGTTAGAATATTAGAAATAATAAGTTAAATGATAATGTACATAAACACTTTCTTATACACTGTTTTGGCTGTCACATGCAATAAACATCATTTCCAAAATAGAGTAATCGTGGGTTTTATTTCTAATTTTCATTCATGCTACCAAATACATGGAAATTTCATTTAGGCCTACAAAAATTACCACTATGCTTCCTATGTAGATGTTAAGCTGTAATACATAAATACATAAAAAGTCGATAGAATACTTGATTAATATATAGTAGCTATATACTGATGAAAATAACTATTTTTTTAGTAATAAAATCATTCATAGGCAAAAACTGTGGACAACCATTGCAAATGAATGTAATAACAGAAAACATTAGTAATTTAAACCTTTCTTCATAAAGTAACACATATACAACAAAGTGACATTTGTTCTTTCATACAAACCTACCTCTGAAAAAAGAAAAAATTAAACCTTTCTTCATAAAGTAACACATATACAACAAAGTGACATTTGTTCTTTCATACAAACCTACCCCTGAAAAAGAAAAAATTAAACCTTTCTTCATAAAGTAACACATATACAACAAAGTGACATTTGTTTTTTCATACAAACCTACCTCTGAAAAAAGAAAAAATTTAAACCTTTCTTCATAAAGTAACACATATACAACAAAGTGACATTTGTTCTTTCAAACAAACCTACCTCTGAAAAAAGAAAAAAATTAAACCTTTCTTCATAAAGTAACACATATACAACAAAGGACCATTTGGTCTTTCATACATAAACCATTATATTAAATTGGTTTTTGCTATTTAATTTATTTGCTATATTTGCATTTTTTGCTACTTCTCTTTCACAGTCTGATTATTATACTCACTTCTATAATCGTATCACATTTACTTTTCAGTTTTTACAAAACATTTAATTGTATTTATTTATTACTTCCCATTGCCTTTCCATATGTTTTATGTATCAAAGGTTAAAGTCAGATTAGTTGTGTTAGACACACCTAATAGTATGTTTAATTTTTTTTGTATTACATTTAACATTGTTATATTTCATTTCAACTTGCTGTACAACAGTTATGCATTTTACTTATGTTTCATCTTTAGTTTTTTGCTGTATTATTGGTAATGTCCTGCTACTTGACTCCTAAACAGTAATATATATGTCATAGTAATTTATCTCAGATGATAGACAACTCTAAGGTCGTACTGTCAGAACTGCTTAATGGGTTTTCATTTGTCACATTTTTATGGATGACCGTGGAAAGGTTTGCCTATACACGGTTATATTGATGTTACGTTATTCAACAAACACTGAATCTATGATGATACTTGAAGCTAACACTAACAGCTAGTGTCTGTGTGTTTCGTAAATAAAGAATAACTTATTATATCTTTAAAGATCCATTATGAGTATTGATTAGAATGTTTTAAAATGTTTAATTTTATTATTATACTTTTATTACAGATATTGTTTTACATCGATAGCTCAATATACAAGCTTAAAATTAACCTAAACCTCCTAATAGTGACCAAAGGTATTACTGGATTTACATATGAAAAAATTGTTAATGGATGATTTACCCATTTAATGAAACAATACATTCTTATCATTAGAAATATTGAAATAATAACATATAAAACTTTTTTTTTACCAGGTTGACTTTTAGTTTTGCTCTAACATCTAAATGGGAAGTTTGCTTTGATAAGAAATTAATAATATTAATACGATGTGTAGATGAATTATTTGAAAGTTATAATGAAATGATCATACATTTATAAAACTGAGAATTGGAAAATAAAACTAAGTTTTAATAATAATTATTATTATTATACAATGTTTTGTTAACACTGATAATGGTGTAATTAAAAATGCCGATTTCAAGAGTCATACAGTGATATATTACAAATGTTACTAAGTCTGTCATTGAAGATAGCTTAGTTAGGTTCATTCAAGACTGATACTTTCTACTCTAGGCCTAACTCAATAACTTCTGTAAAAAAACAACCTTCGTCTTACTACAAAATAAATGTAAAGCCCAATCTATCATTCGATTTACCACTTGTCACCGAGTTACATCTGATTCAGGGAATTCCACCTCACATTACTAGCATCGGTCAAGGAGAAATTAAAAGAATAAAATTAGGTTTTTTATAGCGGTGAAGTGTATACTATACATACACAATCTTACAATACAAGTTACAACCTTATTCTTGAAAGACCTCTTACAAATCTTAGTTCTTACCTTGCCAGGCCACGGGAAAAATCCCTTCATCTTAGCCCTGTAACAATAAATCAGGCATAGTGACTAAAATTGTCATAACAAATATTCAACTACATGCCATTTGAAGTGATAAATAGAAAATTAAAAACCAAAATTTTTCTTACCATACAGGGTCACCAATGCTGAATTTTGACACCACATCAGGAAACTCAGCCATACTTGGTAATTTGAAAAGGACGAACGACTGCGTCCAACTTGAATCACTTTCATCTGTGCAGGCGGCAGCACAATATTTTCAATATATCCACAAATATTCTGAGGTGGGTTCGAGTATTGAATTCTAAAATTTTATATTTTTATTTAAAACAAAAACAAATGGTGTATAAAGAAAGACTTCAGAAAATCATAAATGAAGAATACAAATAGAAGTTTTAATTGTATAAATAAAAAAGGCGATTCTTATTTTGACACGATAAGTATATAGTTATTTTCCTTTACATTATTTAGAAAATTATGATACTTTCGTGGACTGAAAACTTAAATTCTGTTGATGTTCTGCTTCTCGCCATAATCAGAGTAGAGTTAAAATGTTTAATTTTTGATATTGTTACGTATCCGTTCGTTAGTTGATTTTCTGTAACTTCGTTCCGACGAAACTTTAGCGACACAAGTCCTTTCTTAATAAAACTGGTTTATTCTTTCAGAATACAACATTACGATACACTCAACTTCAACAGTCGCGCTATAACAAACAATACGTCTCTCTCTGAATGCAGTTCAATTACTCATTACCTACACACATTATCCCGTCACGTTGTGACCGTCTTATATATATACAAGACTAACACTATATCTAGTAATCTCCCGACAATTTACGAAGGTTCGAGAGAACGAGTGGCGTGACACTAGTCACGTGACCTCGCTGACGCAACACTGCCCCTCCTTAGTATTGTTCGTCCCGAACAATAGCCACTTACAACAAATCAATAACAATTAACAATAACTTAATTAAAATGTACAGAATTACAAACACAAAATTACAATTCAACAAAGTCTCTTAATTTTACGGGACGTATCTTCTTTCGTACTGGTCTCCGTCTCGTTGGCTTCTGTTCATATGGGGTTCATCTGCTTCATCAGGAAATGTTCTATCGTCAATAACAGTCACATCAGTGGTAGTAACTTCATCAAGAGCTTCACCGTTTCTCTTCTCAAAACTGAGTAGAGTTTCTTTTCAACATGAGCTTTTTCAAGTGACACTTCTTCAGCAGCGTCATTT